GGTGGTGAGGGGGGGGGGGGTGGGGGGGGGGGGGGGTGGTGGGGTGGGGGGGGGTGGTGGTGGTGGGGCGCAGAGGGGGTTTGGGCACCCCCCCTTTCAGCGGGACGGGAAATGGAGAACTCTCGCGGCCTATCCATGACATCTTCACATCATACCGCGTAGTGACGTGTGATGTCGGAGTCCCTGTCTCTCCCTGCCGCCTTTAGCTGCTTTAGCGAAAAAACAGTGCAGGGGGGCGGGGGGGGTCAAGTCTGTAGGTGGCAATTCCCACACAGACCAACCCTGTTGTGAAAACATCCTCAGTATCTTCAGCACATTTGAACACCCAAAAACCCTGCAGGAGGTGCTGGAGAATCGTGGTCGGGGCCGGCCACAACTGCCAACGCCACAGGTGCCTAGCACCCGATGGGTTGTGTTGTTTTGCCCCGCAACTTCCGGCCATGTGGAGCCGATGACCTTGAGGGTTCTTGGAGACTGAAGATGTTCTACAGCCTATATAGCTTAGTACAATTGGGTTCGAGATCCGTGGGACACTGAGAAGGCATAGGCCCACAATCTTCGAAAGCAGCGCAAGACTGCACACGATTCACAAGGGCTCACAACATCCTACTCGATGGCTTGAGTGAGTGACATCTGGCATGTCCACCTGGCAGCAACGCCTATAGAAGCGGTTCAAATGTGCTCAGGCTTCAGGGCTATGTTGCTGGAGGTTCACAAATTCAGACATTCGGGTAGAATCTGTGAAAGCGGCAGTAGGTTGCAAAATTTGCTCAGGCATATGGCTACCACACGCACTGCCAAAAGCATCAAGCATGCGTGCATACAGCCGTGGACCACCCTAAACCCTGCAAAGCCCTACAGTTACCCTGGTGAGGCCCCCAGTGCACCACAGCGTCGGCAATTGCGGCGTCCGCCGGCTTTGTCTCCTGCAACTCAGCTGACCCTGCGCTGTCTCTGAAAGAGCCCTTGCAATCGAAGCATCCAAGCGAAGGCAAAGGTTTCTGAGCTGTTGGACGTCAAGGAGCAGGAGGCTCAAGTGTCGGATCTGCATAAGGCGCAAGACGTCCCCGAAACAGAGTGCCCTAGCAGCCCAAAACAGCCAGATTCATTGTGGCTCGTCTACGTGTGTATAAACGAACAGGCGAGATAGACTGCACTCGCATTGTGCGTACTACTATGTCGTACTTTGCCACATGGGCTTAATGTTTGGCGGCCATTCGTATTTTACTATTCAAGAAATGTATGTTGGAAAAATTTCATGAAGAGACCCCACCCTTGCCTTGCCCCCGCCACTTCCTTGCCCCCCCCCCACAGCTCTGCAAGCATCTGACAGGCGCCTTCTGCTCGCCCCGCCTCTGTATACGAACAGCTGAAGAGCAAAGAGTGGGCACAATCATTCGACTAGCTTTTGCTTTGAGTTTGGAGGGTAAAATCTGATTGCAACATTTTGCCGGTAAAGGGGGACGGGAGGGTTAACGTCAGTGGAGCAAGAGACTAGGAGCGTAGACCTGGCCTCAGACGATTCTGCCGCGCAGAGAGGGGACAAAAAGAAGATTGTGGCAGTGCACCCTACAGGCGTGGTGGGCCCTTGCCTGGGCATGTCGGGATTTTGGAAGCAAAGAGCAAAGTCAAATTGTGCTGTCTCAGGAATTCCCCCCACAACAGTCCCCAGATCCCAAAGCAACCCGAGAAAGCGCAGCGCTCCTCCAAGGCCTGCCGAGGTTCGGACACCAGGCGCTGGAAAGGAAGACTTGTGAAGCGCTTCGATGCGTCCCCACTTCGAACACGAAACTTATGATTCTAGTTACTGGTCCAGTTCCACTGTCCCTCACCCCAAACCGCAGCCTGCGAGCAACCTAAAGACAAAGAGGCCGCCGCCGCCGGTGCCTGTCCAGAGGCCAAGACATTCGCAGGTTTGAGTGTCGGCTTTCGGCTGAGGCCCTCGAGGCCAACATTTTCCGAAGCAGCGCTTTGGCTGTAGGCTGACTGTTGGATTGCATGCCTATCCCGCGCGCGGCATGAGGTGGCATTACGGAGTGAGTGTACTGGAAGGCACCCCCTGGAACTTGAGCATCTGCTCTCTTTTTTTTGGACCATCCCGGACTTCAAGACCAGCACCAAGAGAAGCACAGCCGAACTTGTGAAGGCCCCTTTTTTGGGCCTTCACAAATCCCAACAAAAGCAAAACCTGCCCTGAATCTCAGGGTCTACATAACCACAAGCCGCAAGCCCCCACTTCGGAGGCCACCGGCCACCCCACAGGTGGGGCAAGCCTGGGCTGCGAGGCTTGGGGGGGCCTCGAGAGAACTGTCGACCTGAGACTGCATATGCGCACGCCCATGGATGGTCGAGGTGTTTCTTTGGTGGGTTATGGGCTTGGAGGGATTGCACTTGCTGTTTTTGCAGCTCTCGACTCTAGAAGGAACAGCCCATGTCAGCAGCTGAACATCAGAGAGACCTCCACTCAGACACCATGCTTCAGGGTTGTGCGAGCTTGTTTGGACTTGCATTAGTCCCACATGTTTGAGCGTAACCTAGGAAGATCTGCTGAGCAGACATGTGCAAAATCTCAAAAAAAAAAAAAAAAAAAAAAAGACCTAGGAAGCCGAAGAAGACCTCTTGAGAGCTTCAGCGCATATCATATCTTGCATGCTAAAGACGCTGCGGTCTGTGCTGCGCGGGCAGGCCAAGCAGCGGAAGTCGAATGCAGAGGCGCAGAGCAAATCGCAGAAGGTTATGGTTGGTTTGGGGCTTTGCAAAAACTGCGTCCAAACAGAGATGCGAGGAGAAAACGATTGGCAAGACTGCCAGCCCGAACTGTTTTCTCAATCTTCGCTTTAGTCCAAAAAGAAGGATGTGTGCATGTTGGTACAGGAGCAGCGGGGTCTTGTGCCCCCAGCTCCGGCCACAAACGCTGGAGCCTCTGCTGCCACATGCCATGGGAGATTGCGGTGTCTCATACAGCGTATGTAAGGAGACCGTGTCTACTTCGTGTGACATGCAAGCCGCACACACACACACACACAAACATTCAGATTGCATCAAACATAATAATTGGTCGACGCTGCCAACCAGCGCATTGCCCAGGCCTGTTCGACACTCCGTCGTAGTCGACGGCGTGCATCCCGATGCTGACCAAGAAAAGGGCAGGCAAGCTCTCTTTTGATGGCAAACTCTCGGCGTAGGTGAGACATGACCAACCCAAAGCGTGGCAGACTGCATGCCTCTCTTGCAAAGGGCCCAAAGGGCCTATCGCCCAAACCTCAGAATTGTCGCACCCCAGCTAAACTCGAAGCATTCCAAAGGCCGTGGAGTGTGCGCCTTGCATTTGAGCCTGGCAGCTTTGAGGCAGGGTTTGGGGTTGGACCTTTCATACCCCCTCCCTTCAATTATGAGCGTTCCGCACCCCCCACCAGCAGCAGTTGAGATTTGGGGGGAGGAAGGGTTCGGAAGGGGAGTTTAAAGTGCACACGATGTGGGTGCAGGCGTCAACATGGTTGGACATCTGGGAATGTCATTCTTTTATTTTAAACGCTGCGGACGTCGCCCACCTCGGCCATACAGGCAGGGATCCCACAAAAGGTTACCTTGAGAGGATTTATAGCTGATCCCCTGAAGGTTAGCCAACACAGCTCGGCCGCCCCTTCCCCCCCGGTTCCCCCAAAAACTTGCTCGGCTTACTTTCGTGCCTTTACCCTTACCTTGCTAGGTCAAGCTGAGGGCCGAAAGTTCGCCATCGAAAACCCGAAATCTTGGCAAAAAGAGAAGGGGGGGGAAGGTGGGAGGGGAATCCGTTTGCATGGAAACCTTTGGCGCCTCGCATCCGAGGCCGAGGCGAATTCTTACCCTATGCAGCTCCTTTGTCAAAAGTTTCTTCCTGACAACACCGGACTTTTAGGGTTTCTTTGGGCTCTGGTGCTCATGGTTCAACTTGGGTCTTTGGGCTTGAAAGATTCGACACCGGACTTCAACTAGGGATAAGCCAGCACGGTGCAACTTATTGTGCAAGCGCTTCGTTTCCTCACCTGCTGATGCTAGCTTTCGTCGCTCTGGTCTCAAGAAGCTGATGGGGGGATCCTGGTGAGGCGTTAATGCTGTAGGCAGCTTTTCTTATTCTGTCATCTCGACTGAATCATAGAGAATCATAGAGCGGATGCTCGGCCCCAATCATGTTTGACGATGCAGAATTTAGGGGCCGTTTACGTTGATGCATGTTGGCCATCTCGTCTCTGATTCTTCGCAGTCTAAGCAGGTCCTCCACGGCGCATGGGGTGCATCGAACACGCTGTCCGATCTCGCCAAGTGGGCGAGCACCTGAAAGAAATCCTCAGGAAAGCATTGCCATTCCGAGAAATTCTACACTTGTGGTGAGGGCCTCCGTGAGAGGGTTCTTGGACCATTGGATTTGAAGACCACTTTTTGCTCTAGGCCTGCTTAGCTCCCAAGGTGGCTTCGGACCCCACTCGGATCGTCGAGGCAGAGCGCAGTCCAGTTGTGTTTGCAGTAGCTTGTGGTGCTTGTCTTTCACCTCCATGTACGTCACCCGTCCCAAATCAAAAAACCTAGAATCGACATGCGAGACATGTGTGTGTGTAAAAACTCTGAAACATTCTGCCGGCGACTCCAAAAAGTTCTGGTTCTTATATTTGAATTGTCCCAGTGATGGAGAGCGGAGGCCTACACTAGGATATGTGGGTCGTCTTGGTTTCCTGTTGTCTTAGCTTCTTGCCACTGACACGAACAGTTTTAGAAACATAAGTTGTCGGACGGTTGGACCGCTGCCTTTAGCGTGGCGCGTCGAAGCACTGCTGGGAGTGGAGCCCTAAACGATTCCCCCAAGGTGAAACGTTTGGTGGCAAACCCGAAACACCAAAGAATGTGTGAAGCCAGCATGAAGCATTCCGGGAAAGGGGACCAGCCCACACAAATGTGGCGAGCCGGGGCTTTTCCTTGTGACTGTTCGCACGTTTGAGCACAGCCCGAAAACTACGCCAGATACGAGGGCATCAAGGATTTGCACCACATGTGGGGGAACCGGGCGCCATTTTGAGTTGCTCACATTGCGTCCCTTTCCTTCCGCAACTCTGCATTGGTGAGGCTCAGGGTTTTGCTTCGGATTCGTTGCAATTTTGAACTTGTCGGGTAATGGGCTCTGAGGCAAAGGCGACCCGACAAAAACGCAAGTGATAGTGTGGACCCCATGCATCCCCTTGAAAGCTCCAGTCATCAACAGCGAACTGCCACGAGATCTGCTTTCGATGCAGGTCAAAGGTTGTGTGCAAGAAGATGAAGAGGACTGTCTTCCATTGCATTCGGGGGTGATGCAGCTGCTAGCCCGAGCACACACCATGTGGCGAAGCTTTGAGCAATAAGAACGTAACCACCAACAAACCACAGCTTCCATGCTTAGCGCAACGATTCAGAGGGCTGGATTTGCGGCTCGGGTGTTGAAGATGAGGGCAACTCGTCACGGCACGTGCACTCTGTGGCTCACACGGTGAGAGCTTCACAGTGAGCTCAGGAGAGCCTTGCGCCAGGGCCTCAGCTCCTTAAGCTCAAGCAACAAGTGGTGCGACCTCCTGCCGAGGCAGAAAAACAAAAACCCCGGAATTGCATTGCCTCCGGAGTCAACATCCCCGACAAGCGGCAATGAAGCTGCGCCATGGGAAGCCCATGAGCGTTCTCAAACATTGCTGCCATAAGCCCAAGAGTACTCGAAATTTTAGGAGATCTGAAGAAACCGGCACTAGAGCCGGCCTTCACCCTACACAAAGAAAACTCTGAAGCGCATCATTGCTCTGGAAAGTTGATCCCCCAAGGCTGGCCCGAAGCCGGAGCGTGCAGCAACCTCGGCATCATGCAACAGCTTGCAAGCCAAGCATATTTGACAATGTACCTCCTGGCTCTTTTACGGACCCCGATGTCCCACTGTAGGGCCTTTTGCAGACGTCTTAGGCTGGCAACGGTTGCGGGGCAGCTTCATGTGCCGGGGACTCGGCACATGAGTGTGTCAATCCGAAAACGAATTGCCATGCTCAGCCGCCGAAAGTCGAGAACCCCTTCCAACTCAGCACTTGAATGTTTGCAAGCGAGGCCCACAGAGCAGTGCCGTTGCTCAGCCAGTGTGGGCCAGGCGCGATTTACTCGTAGCAGCTTCAGGACAGTTTGTAGAGGTAAGGCCGGGTAAGGGTGGGGCCATCATCTCTCAATTAGCTGTGCAGGTGGCTGCTTAAGTTTCTTATATCTGGCGGTTTAGCAGACGCGTCGAAGCGTTTGTGACTGCAGGGGTTTGCCGGCGTGGAACTTCGGGCCGCATTCCGAGCATGCCCAAACATTGGCAGCAGCACTGCTAGATGCTGACTGTTCACAGAATTGGGTTGTCCTGTTCCATGTGTTTCACAGAGGTGAGGGATTGTATATCCGGGCCCGGTTTCAGGTACAGCCCCTGACATCGGGAAAACAGAACCAAGCGGTTTTTCCGGATCGGACCGATGTGTCCAGGCCGAGCACAGGAGCCAACACATGAATAGAAAGCTGGACTTGAAGGCGACAACACATGCGTGGAACCAGGTCGGCAACAGCCCGAAACCCTAGCTGCCCTAGCTCCTGTTAACATACCATCTTGGTGCAAAAGGTGCTCTCGGGCTGAGGTTTGCTTCTTTTGGCTCGGATTTGGGCCTGCATTTCTCTGGATTCCTCGCGGATTCCACTACCACCTTCAGGAAATGCTTTTTCATAGCACAGCACTCGACAAGCAGACGATATCTCTGAATGGTGGCAACAATGTACATGCACGGAAGTGGTTCTCCTCCTTTTCGGCGCAGAGCAGGCAGATAAGTTTCAAAATAAAGTGAGCAATGTCTTGCTTGCTGCAGGTACTCCATGGCCAATAACTGCACTTGCCCTTCTCAGCTGCAGTGCCAAGGCAATGACACACGTGGGCTTGGAGGGCCTCTTTAAGGACTCTTAAGAGTATAACTCTGCAGCTTGACTTGTTGTCTCGGCTGGCATGTGCTTGCTGCTGGAAGCTGCAGGAAGCCAGGTCGCTGGTGCTGGCAGACACCTGCACTGCGAAGCATGTCGCGCTTAGCCAAGCTTGAATGGAGCCTGAAAGCTACTCAAGAGAGTCGACGGCCCTAAGCCACACACACACACACAGACACGCACTTGCCCGGATTTGAATTTTTCATGCGTGCACTCTGACTGTTGCATGCAGAATGGAACGAGGTGTTGGCCGTGGCTGGAGCTGCCACTTCGCCTGCATCGGCACTGCGTGGGCTGCAGCGCCTGTATGTTGAGGCGCGGAAACTTGGATCCGAGTCTTGGGACTTCGCTGTGGAGCCGAGCGCTTTTGCACCTCGACTTCTCAGTCAGTGACTTTGCAGCCTCGGCAGCTCTCCACTCCCAAGGAGCCTAAACGAACAGGACATATTTCTGATGTGCGCTTACAGACCTCCCAGAAGTCCGGCCAAACGAAGAGCCCAGGCCCTACCACCCAGAGACCCAAAGACCCGGTCAACGTCTGCAGAGGTTCAATTCTGCTCCGCACAGCGCCTTGCCACCCGCCGGCTTACCGCAGTCCTGAAGTGCGCAGCCTCGGATGACCCTCTCTGCTCAAGACTGCTAGAATCGCAATTCGGGTGTATGATACTATTTTTATTACGATGGAAGCTTGCAGCAACCGAAGCCCTTGGACCCCAAGCTGCACCGAGGTCTCTGAGCTCTGAAGGCTTGCCGAGGCGGAGGCCCACGGCTGATCGGGGCATCCAGACCAGTTTAGGGCCTGCAGCTGAAGGTTTGTGGTCGTCAATGCAGCAGTATCGAGTCGATACGGGGTCTGTTATGCATACGGATGAAGGGCAGAGCATTAGGCTCATGTGCTGCAGTCCGTTTTACGCAAAGGCTGCCGATGGAAACGCGCAGAGCTTGCTCACATCAATGTTCTAATTCTCCCAGCACAGGGCAAGCTTGCAGAAGACCCTTCTAGCTTCGGACATGCTCTTTCGAGGGCGATTACAAGCACACGGTTCATCCGCTGCTGCGGGTCACACGGATGCTTGGAACCTCCAGACGCACTGCGGATAAGACGAGGCAGGCACAAAGCCAAAGCCCACGAAGAGAAACCGCCCCTTGACTCAACCTTCGAAAAGGCTCACAAGAGGCTTTGCCAGAAACTCCTTTCGTACTGGTCTCCCGCACCCCACCTGAATCTCCATGGGTGTAGGCTCCGAGGGCATGTTCGAGCTGGAGTGTGCGACCAGGCAGAATGGCTGTCAGCGGTTTTGCGCACTTTCGGGTTATAGGGCTTGAGCCGTTCGTTGTGCGAGGCATTTGAGGAAGGCAGAGCGGCGATGTCCGCATGCGAACTTAGCTCACACACACACACACACACAGAGCTTCGACGCCCACAAATGGTCTCAAACCCTGAAGTACATGGCCAGGTGAGGTTCTACCTCTTCGAGGAGCTGCTTGCAATTGGCTCCTTGGAAGCTCTCACGGAGTTCGACGGTAACGTTCACAGCATCCCAAAACACCTCAGTTCTGTCACAGATTCGTCGGCCTTGTAAACATCGAGATGTTCATGACAAAGTCTACCACCATGTACAGAAGACTTGGGCGTAAAGGTGTTCCCCCTGCCCTGAGCCTGTGAGATTCGCTGAGCGCTGAGGTCGAAAAGAGCAGTAAAGCGTAGCAGAGAGCGGTGAAGTGTTTTTCTTTTAGCATCAATTCTCGCAATGGGTCTTGAGATGCCTTTCGCTTCTCAATTCTCAAAATGTTCAGCTTCTGCCCGGGGTGACACGGCAAGCAGGACCTTGAAAAAGGGAGCGCTGAATGCCGAAATTTGCACTTGAGGGTCTCCACATGGGGCTGTTCTACATCGCGCCGAAACGTAGAGACGAACTTCAAACGTTTACAAGCGCAAGGAACCACATATGAACCTGCAACTGGAACCACTTGAACAGCCCCACATGCTCAAAGCATGGAGAGACCCCCCCGCAGGACCCTCGAAAATGCGACACGAGCGCATGAGAAAATGAATGCCCGGAGCCAGTTCAGCATTGGGCTGGAGTATGCCCAACAGGCTTAACCGGCTTTCCGCCTTCTAGTTCTCCACATGGCTCTTGATCAACTTCAGACGAGGGCTTCAAGCAAAATCTGCCTCAGCAGGAATCTGCAATCTGGTTCCCTAAGCTCTGCGAGTCATGCCTTGCCTTGCATAATGAGCAGGCGAGCGAAGCTTACCGGCACTCGGTGCAGCTCGAGAGTCCGCAAACATAAGTAACATTGCGAGCCAATACTTGAGATAAGGCACGACGAAGCGATCGGTCAAGCACCTTGAGATCGTAAAAAACAGAGTAGCATTGACAAGAGAGGGCAGTTAGGAACGGCCTAGCCAGTTCGTCCAAGTAACATCGGTGACCGAGCCACATTCACAGCAGCAGTGGACACGACACAAAGAGGCCAAATCATGTCTATTCGCCAACTGCTTGCCACGAGCCACCCCATGCGCCTCAAGCTCTGCCATGCATGGTGGCTTGTTTCTCTGTTGGTACCTTCACAGTCTGAAGACTTCCTGTGGCTAAGCCAAGCCTATGATGCCACTTGGTCAGCATGATTTTGGGAGTGGTATCTTGCACTAGATTTTAAAGTACTAAGGCGTGCGACCATGCGCACAACAATGACAGAGGGTTGCAAGCTTTTTTCCCGAACGGCCCGCCCTGTTGCTCCTGGCCTGGGATCCTGTCGACACAAATGTGGGGGCACCTCCAGAGCGTTCAAGAAATGCCGAAGCTCTAACAACCTTTGCCTGCAATCTTCTTCGCAAGTTTACATAGATGGTTACTAGAGTTCGCCGGTGGCATACCGACACTGTTTCGAAGCAAACTACAAGCAGATTGATTATCACACGAACAGTACGGGTACACTGAAGACGCAGATGGGCACAAGACACAAAAGAGCCCTTGGAGAAGCCAATGACACGTTGGCCCGCTGCTCAGCCAAACGGAATAGCTCCGAAGACCCGTCTTCACTTCACTTTTCAGGAAGGTGTCCGAAGGTGTCAGGAGAACAAGGGTGAGCATGTTCCATGACGGCTTGGTGAAGGGAGGGGAGGCTCTTGTCATGGAATCAGAGCGCTTTCTGATGTTCCGACAGAACTTCTCAGCTGTTGCACTGGAATGCGTCGCGTTTCTTGAGGTTCTTGCCCCTCTTCTGGCTCCATACCTTGGTGAACCCCACACTGTTCATAAACAGAATTGGTTCGAGTCATGGTCTGTTCCCTTGGGAGTTTTGGGTTGAGGAGATTCCTGCGTGGCTACTGGCGATCTCCAAGGCCAGCTGAAACTGCTCGTTGGTCTCAATTCTTGCACATTGAAATTTCAAAACCTCTGCGCCATGGCTTAAGGCCTCAAAGAACAACACATGCCTTGATATGGAATCTTTCCGCAAGAGTAGGATGATCTGGTTTGAGCCCGAGCTTCTGAACAACATGGCCTCGGGAACACTGAGGAGCTATTGTTAGCTGCTCAGCGCAAGGATGCAAACAGTTTCGTCTTGGTCGGGATCTTCGGCCCATGTGCAGGAGCTTGGGTGCTTCGTGCAGATTCCCCAAGTATCCTCCGCGCCCAAGGTTGAGTTTGAACTTTTCTTGTGCTTTTCAAGCCTCGTCCTTGCATTAGCTCGTTGTACCGAAGCTCCAGATCTAATCCACTTAGCTGCTCAGCCTTCTCATGTCTTCCACGAAAGAAAGAGCCCCCACCCCCGCTCCTTGCCCCTCCTCACCCCTTCTCCGACATCACAGCCGTGAGAAGCTTCGACACGGCAGGAAGCATCCACGCTGAGAAGACCCGACGTGCACCTTTGCATGTCAAAGGGCGGTAAGACAAGCTGAGCGCTAAACCTGAGTCTCACTGCAACCCCAGTCTTCTCACTACCGCATCCACATATGAAATGGCCAAGCCGGATTTCTCGGAGATCGGCTATTACCCTCAAGTTGCCCCCCCAAATTGCCAAAAGCCTCCGAGGATTGCCTGGAGCCCGGGTTAGATGCAGCACGGGGACACAACCGAGTGGCTCCTCAGCCAAGCACGAACCGATGATGCAGGCTTTTATGACTTCTTACGGTCAGGAAGAGAAGTAGGCCAAGCCAAAGACGTCTAAGCTCAAGGAAAACAGCTAAGGACGTCCTGTCGAAGAGGTTGTTGAGGTCCCCCTTCACAGTAGCATGTGAACTGCTGAAGCATCTCCCACGTCCGAAACTTTCTCAGCATGGAAAACAGCAGGGAGGCAATCAACAGTTCAACGAGTTCAAGGTGTTGAGAACGTTGAGCACCGATCATGGTAGGCTCAATTTACTACACAAGACTTCACGTCAGCACTTTGCGGAACGACCTTGTGTTTTGCTCACGCGGCCATTCGTGTTTCGCTGAATGTCTCTTTTTCTGAAAACATCTTTCTCTCTTTCCCTTGGTGTTTCCATGGGCTTCTTTTGCCTTCGCCCTTCATACGGGAAAACCGTCAAAATGGCAGGTTGAGGGTCGCTGCACTGCAAGGTTCAATTGGGAGACGTTTGGGAGAGGGAGCGGAGAAGAAGGCGCGAATGTTGAAAGTTAAGGTTGAAAGCTAAGGGCCAAGGGGCTTTGGGATGAGTGTCTTACAGTCTTACACATGAAGTCAAGGGTGAGGCGGGAGATCCGGGATGCAGGCTGTTGTAGTTGCAATGTACGAGATTTTTGGGAGGGCATTTTTGCCCACTGAGCCATGTTTCACAACATCTGTGCTCTGGATACTACGACACACAGGCACACGACCAAGCCCCAAGCCCTTGAAGGATAGCTATAATTAACCACCCTAGGGGCTCGCACTTTGAATTTAAGACCGTGTGTTCCTTCAACTCCCTAGCTGCGCCACTTCCAATTCAATGAGCTGGTTTTTGCACATCCAAGGTGCACAGTCGAATCAAGCACGCTCCTCTCAACATGGCCCCGGAAGACGTACCAAGACCGAAACGCCAGAAAGAAGGAACAGCGATGGGTCTAAAACCAGAACCAAGCGGCAAGTTGAAGGCTGTTTGGGATAAGTCGCTTTGCAGATTCCACTATTTCATCTACGCTGACGACAATGGGGAGTTTGCATTCAAGGCGCGACGAGCAGACACAGCACTGACTCATTTTTTCTGGGGCACCATTCACCGACCTCGTGACCGTTCTTTTGGAACCAGCACTCCCGCCTTTGCATTTCAATGGTGCGCCAATCTTACCCATTGCATTTTAACACTGCGGCTGCTGTAAGATAGGGGGCTTGACGAAGCTGGCCAAACGGTCTTCGCGTCAGGCTTGTCTAAGATTGGGGGCATGTGGTTCAGGCAATGCTGCTTGAAGAACCGAAGCTTCAGAGTCAGGGGACATCTCGCCACAGTGGCATACTGGCCGTCTGCTTCCCTAAGATGACAGCGACTTGTGTTTGGGGAGACTGCAAGTCTGTAGCTGGCACCAGAATGCAACCCTTCTTAAGAAGGCAGGATGCTCCCCTGCGGGCTGCGGCGACATCGGTGCGACACCCCTGGAGGCCCAAAGGCTTTCAATAATGTTCCGGTGACTTTTTGAGCCCACCAAGCATTTCAGATACTTTTTTGGGGTCCTTCAGCGTGGGTGGTTCAAGGAAAGTGAACCAGGGAACCGTAGAAGCTTGCAAGAGCGTTGGCACCGCCCACTAGGGTGAGACGGCACCGTTGTTCTTCCAGCGCCTGCTTCTCTTGCAGCTCCTGGGACGCAAGATGATGTGAAAACGGGCCTCGGTAACTCACGGGGCACATCATCGTGTTTACATAGTACAGGCCACCTGCCATTTCGCCGCTTTCGCAACGGTGCGAAAGTCCTCAGAGATCAGGCAGCCGGCGGTGGCTTCCCCGATTCTGGGGGATGAGACGTGCCGGCCAGAAACGATGCGCCTTTGGCACGGTTTGTGTGCTTCTGTTTTGGTAAGCTAAGCTGAGGGCCCTTCCAATCTTACACCAGCCAAGACCCCAACAATGTAAACACCGACAGCCGAGAAGCGTAAATTGCACTTTTGTCAATACGTCTGGCCGAATTTCTTGTCGATCATACTCACAGGGTCTTCTGAAGACGAAGCGCTAGTGTAGGTGTCGGCGAGGGAAAGCAAAACGTGCCCATTTTTGGGACCTTGGGCCCGGACGCTGTTGACATGGGCAAGTATGGCGCCGAAGGTCCTAGATCAAAGCCCTTTGAATCTTGGATCCAGTTCACATTGACGCATGAACACTACCTGCAAAATCGGCATCGCACAAACGAAGAATTCAAAGAGTGTATTTCCTGTTAGGTCCGAAAAGTCAGCACGCATTGCGGAATCCTCTAAGTTTCTTACGCATCTAACTTCAGACAGCGATGAGGACAAAATCAGATTGAAAAGAACCCTTCCCTCTTTGCAGGATCAGCTGCTCAACGCTATTGGACCACAAGTGCATCGCTTTCCATTGGTCTGTGCGAGAGAACTTCCGAGCCTTCGTTGCCCGGCTCTGTCTAGGCACATGGCCTACCGAAGTCCATTGGTCTGCAAGTGTGTTTTGCGGTTTGCACTGTTAACCGAACGTTACTGGAGCCGTACTGAAAAAGGGTCAAGCAACCCAAGACTTGCCAAGTCGCCGCAAATAGTGTAAGCAATTCGTAACTTTGCCTGGCGCTGCTAGACCCTCTGGATGCAACGGCAGAGAGAGAGAGAGGGAGAGAGACAGAGAGAGAGTGCGTACGAACGACATCAAGCGACACAACGCTGTCACAACAGGGTATCTCAGCACCGTTCTCAGGATCTTCGCGATGCCTTGAAGGGTTGCCCTGTGTCTGGTCTTGCATGCCGAGACTCCAACAATGAACAGGAACGACATGACATATCACGCTGAACTCTCAAATCCACCGTTCCGAGGATGAGTTTGTGGAGGTGTCGATGCTTGCTGCGTGCGTCTGCTCACTCAACGAGGTGATGGAGTCCGCTTATCGAGGCCGAAGGTATTTGCGTTTTGTCTTGCATGAGGTCTAACCGCCTAGCATGCAGGCAAGTTCGTGACACTGACTATGTTTTGAATCGCGCCATCTCTTTGGCGAGCTGTTGCATGGTCCCAGCTGACAGAGCGTAGCTGATAGTTCAGGAATCAGGTGACAATTGGCATTCCGAAGGCTTTGACAGGCGCAAAAAGTGCTTTGCCTGCGTTATGTGGTGTGGTGGCAACCCGATTTTCCAAGCGAAGTTCCCCAGCTCGGTGCTCCAAACAGGGTTTACTCACGTGCCTCCCCGGGAGGCCCCGGAGCTCAATTCCAGCACCCTTTCCTGCAGGATACACCTGGTCCTACCGGGCTTTTCAACGGACGGGAAACGGCACTCGGTTCGCTGAGCATCGTGGAAACTACGTCCGCCGCTTGGCACTGAACATGAGTCGACCTGCATGCAGCCAAAGCTGTGCACAGTTCAGGCAACACTAAACCGGTAAACACGCATGCTTGAGCTGACAACTGTTGGACAAGTGCAGGTTGGGTGCACTGTGAGAAACACACACTTTGTCAAAGCCGAAATGGATCCGTGAAGTTTTCATGCAATCGCACCCCTCACTATCTCTCAAAAACCCATGACCGTTTCCCTTCTGCCCAATGCCGTCTGAAAGCTCTGGGCTGGGTTCAGCACTCGCTGGCAGCAATGCCTCCATGACCAGCCCCTTTGCACACCAGCCTGTGGGACTTTTAACTGAGCTGATGTGGGGGGGGCCCCGCAGTTTTCATTCTTCCCCAGATCTGAAGATCTCAACGCAAGACACTGAACTCTTTTTCTGCAAGACCTGCGAGGAAACATGCATCCCTGCTTCCCGCGCAAAGTTTCGGGGCACTACGAGGCCGCTGGGCGGGTCGGATTTGTGGGGCAGCTGGTGTTGGCAGCTTGGGTTCAGGTTCAGGGCTCACTAAAAATGGTTGCCTCCAGCTCGCACGCCTTCGCGGGAACATCTTTGTATATGCTAGCACAACTTCAGCCCCGCGCTCCTGACACACGTAGGACTATGCAAGCAAAAGATAGCAAAAAAAGAGCAAGGACTCAGGAATTCTCCAGGGGCCCCTTGCTTCAAGCGTGCTCTCTATAAGGACAGCCAACTCGTTTCCTGGATGCGGCCTCAACTCTCACGCTGTGCCGCTTCTGAAGCTCTCATTGTGTGAGGTGGGAACCTCTTGAATTCATTGAACGTGTTTTTTCAGGAAGTTCACATGTGTCCTGCTTTTGATTGTGTTCCAAGCGCGTTTGTTCTCTTACTCTTGGTGTCAGGGCTTTGGCTCTGCTTGGGTAGCAGGTGATGTGGTTGTTCGACGAAAGATGTTGCAGCAATGTCGAGATCTGAGGTGCCTCCGACCAGCTTGGGCCATCAGCAGAGCTTCAGCGCGGCTGCAATCCACGGGCCTGAGCCACAGAAATGCTGAAAAAAAAGCCTGCTTTGCCATACTTGCCATCCCATGCGTTTTTGTGGCACGCCTGAGATGTACCCATGTTTGTCGCTGGTTGTGTAGTGCCTTCGAGCTTCCTGTGCCAGGTTGGGTCAAGGATTTAAGCTAGGTGTGTACATCTATCCACCATTTTTTGCAGGATTACGGCAAAACTGGAAGGTTCCCGTATAAGCAGTACCACTTGCAGCACGAAGCCCTGCCAGGACCACTGTTTGCAGCCTCTCGGCAAGCAGCAAAAGTGATGTGTGGACTGCACCCCAAGACGAGCCTTGGGCGACCGACCCTCGAGCTCTAGCTCGGACAAGTCATTTCATCAAGTTGCTTTGGCCTGTCATTGTGCGGTTCCTGTCACGCACTACTGGGAGCAGGTAGCGACGGAAACTGTGGCAATTGTTTGCCGACGGCACCACGCGCAAAGAAGCATTTTGGAAAGCTCTTTTCTGCTGAAGTTGTTTTGACATATCAAACTGGTCGGCACTGGTCGGCTCTGAAGTTGAGTGAGTCCACGACACGCCGCTTTGCCATGTGGCTGCTGAAGAGGCCTCCTCCGGACGTGGATTATTCGACCTTCCTGCCGTGCTCTCCATGGGCGAAGGACTCGGCCGGATTGAAGCAGAAGCCCGAAGATAAGCCTTTTCCGGCAGGTTCCATTACTGTCGACCGTGCTGTTAGCGGCGCTTTTTGCGCTTGGTCTCTCTACTGCCGCCATGTCCAGAGCAGTTCGGCGACAACCACAGGAAGAGCACTGGCAGCGGCATAGCAGCAGCAGCATCAGTGATGGTTCGGGAACTATAAGCATGGCACACGCCATTCCTGGCCTTTGATTCTGTACACGTTGGCACCTTGCAAAAATTCTATTCTAAGGCGCGCAGATGAAATTCATTCTGCTCTTGAGTAACAGAGGTCAATCCCGGCCATCCTTCTAAGCAGCTCTGAGAAGCCAGAATCAGGCAAGGGCAAATCAAGCTAAAATCGCACAGCCGAAGGGCCAGGACTACTGCGTGGAGAAGCCGACGAGCACTAGTCGAAGCCCAAAGGCTCGAGAGAGGGGGCTGGAGAGAGCCGGTATAGCCCCATATAGCCTTTCCAATTTTTTCTTGGCCTTCTTGTCATATTTGAACCTTGCCTGCCATAACCAGCGAAGCACGAGACATCTTCTGAGCCCTGAGAGTCCTGATATCCCTGAGATGTGGACACACCGACCCACTCCTCAGTTCTCCATGACACAGATCCTGCCCAAAGGTGGACGGGCGGCATTTCGTGGACATTATCATGAAAGGTCCCTGAGCGGCGTTTTGGAACCCAGAGTCCGGAAGCACCCGCATGGACGCTGCCGACGCAGCCCGTGGAGCAACCTAGAGGACCGAGAGATGAAGTCTGGAGCACCTCAAACCATTCAAAGATCCCTTCATTCTTTTGAGCTCCCTCCTCAGGAGGAACGCATGCGAAGAAGCAACACATGAGACAGGACACTTGATTTCGCAGGTTGTAAGCGAAAAGGCCACGTTTGGGTCTCCAGGGTGCCTCAGCTCCACCAACAGCAACACAACTTTGCATCTTTCGCTTCCAGAGGATCTAGTCGGTGGCCGCCACTACACCTCGCAACAATAAAAGGTAAAGTAGTCTCCCATAGTCTCTTGAACCTCTCCTGAGAAGGCCGGATCCTCTTTGCTTCCAGGCATGCTCGGAAATGGATGGCCGGATCTACCGCATCTGGATCCTGCCAAGCCCAGAGACCGCCTTTGCATCTCGGGTGATCGTTCGTGTTGATGTCAGCTTTCTTTGCAAAGACAGCTTTTCAGTTAGCGGCAGATTTGGAGATGATGACTTTTCTGTAGGCGCTGCTGGGTTTGATTTGAAGCAAGACAAGTTTAGGCATGAGGGTGCGTGCAAGGTCTGTCTTCGAGAAGACTTGTCCATGTGAGAAAGTTCAACCAATAGAAGCTGGTGTATTTTCTGTTCATTCCGATACTGATACCGAATCCTTACCGAAACATGAACGAAACGAAAGGCTCAAGACACTAGCAACATTCCGGAGACAAGGATCCGCATTCTAGCACGCAATCACAAGCAAGAAGTGGCAGCATCTCGAGACACCTTTCAAAGTCCAGTCCATGCATGGCCCAGCACATGTACGAGCAACATTCACAGAAGCTTGCCGACCAGATTTGCAAAGAGCTGGCCGGCAGTTTAAAGGAAGAGTTGTTTTGTCATTTACTTAATCTTCCATCCCAGGAATTCATGTTCATAGTGTGCTTGCGAAGGGCATGCGTGTGACTCACGTCCCCAAACGGCCCAGACCGATCTGAATGAACCCGGGGCGCTCAGAGGCATTCTAGGCCGACGCAACTACAAAGGCCTAGTTCGACGCTACGCGTCCAGGAGCCCGGAACGCGTTTTGGAGTTCAGGCTTTGTAGGTTATTGATCACGAGCTTTGGCCAATTTGAAAATGGTTAGTTCAAGGCTGGCTGGTCTTGGGTCCCACACAGGCAATGACAAGGTCCAACCAATATGCACGTTCTTCACTGGATTATGCATTGTCAGGACGGCCTTGAACAATGTGGTTCACTTCTCGCTCGATCAACAATGCATAGACCTGCGCCTCGCTCAGTTTTGAGATGTTACGTGCTTCCAGGCGCAGATTTTGCAGCATCTTTGTACCTTGTTTTGCACATGTTGCATCACTTGGCAACAGTGAACTCTCCCCGATCAATTTCATAGAACACCCGTAGGATACCTCTCTGTACATTGCCAATGTGCACGAAGAGCTTGCTCTGGCATGTTTGTTCTTCTATGCTAACCTGAAATCGTGTTTCGCGACAGCGTGGTGGGGGCTTGGCTTCTGAAGCCGTCCGGCGCTTTTCCTCGTGCACATTTGAGGGAAGGATGTGGGGTGAGGTGGACTGAAGCGTCGACCCTGTTCATGCGACTTCATCTGTTTGCAAAAGCAGCCGTCAAGGTTCAGGGTGCACTTGAACCGTACCACATGGAGGTTCAGGGGTTAGGAATGTGGACTTGTTGACTTCCGAAGCCTGTAGCAAAAGAAAGGACTTTGGACTTGTACTTGCAGCGTTGTTGTTGCCCCCTCATTCCGTTAGCCCGACAAAACTACTGAATGCCCAAACAGATGGCCTTTCGTAGGTGACACCCACCACCTGCACTGCCATTTCCTTGACTACAATCTACGACACCGCCACTATCCCTAATCCACAACCATAAACAAATCACTCTTTCGCTGAGCTTGTACGACCATTGCGATGATATCTCCCCCTTCTCCGATGACGACGACTGCCACTACCACTACCATCACTGTCACCCTTGCAACTCTGTTGCCTGTTGGGGGGGCACAATGCTTCCAGGCTGCCGGGCAAATATTGCTGTAAGGAGCAGCAATGTTTGCCCGGAAGCATCCGGCGTGGACATCATCATTGCTGCTACTACTGCTCATTCTTATTGCTGCTGTTGTTGCTGCAGTTAGTCTCCTTCTGATCATTGCTATCATATCGAGTAGAGGGTCTTGAGGTGCTCTGCGCTTCTGCTTGCGGCGGCAGTGCATGCTGCACAACCCAGCTTCATAGTGGCCAAGCCACTTCGGCAGACTTTCAGGGTTCCGCGGTTTGCTGTTTGGTTTGGACCGCCGTGCCTGGCCCCAGCCCCTCGGAAGCCAGTTCCCCCACAAGGTCTGAAGGTCTCAAGACAGATCAAGGCGACTGACAAACTTGTCCCGAAGCATCAAGACTTCAAATATGACCCAGCATCTTGGCCAACGCGATGCGTCACCATTCCGTTGCTTCTTGTGAAGGAAGGGCGCAGGCTTTGGCTGAAGGCAACCCAAGCATCGGTTAAATCCATTCCCTTCCACTGTCCCCATGTGCTTCGTCGGGTGGGCGTGAAGCTTCAATGAACGTGTAAATTCGTGCAGATTGAGCGGACAAGTACTTGACATGCCCACTGCCAGGTCACAACAACTGCAAGACATTGACGAGAACATCATTTGCATGACCACCTGTTTGCGGGTTCCGACGATCGACCTAGACCTTGCACATGTGAACCGCAGATGTGCCCATGGACTCAGATCTCAGTCCTTGGTAGTTTCATTGTAGTTGGATTTATATCCCAGGTTCCATTGCCGACTGCCTCAGTCAGATTCATGACAACATGACCTGGTTATTAGGAAGTGTCGGAAGGGGTTGGTGTTGCTCACCGGTGGTGTCTGCCTACAAGTCTTTCCGGTTGACCTGAATTCGTCACCCAGATAACCACCGGGAGAGTGTGCAAGTTGCAGGTGCCACAAGTCTGTCGCCCGCCATACACAAGACAGCAAGCGCAGGCATTGGGAATATGTTCAACTTCATCTCACAACCCCACGATCCTGAAGCCAGGGTATTCAACCTTTACACACACACACATTGCGAATCCTGGAGGACCGCATTTCTGCGTACCTGGTCCATGATGGACCTGCTGGGTTCGGGATGGAGCTCAATGTACGAGATGCTTCAGCGCGAGGCGCCCTTGTGCCCTAATTCCATCAGGTTATCCTGCGCTACAGGGCCGCCAAAGTTGAGATGCCGTGAGAGCGATCATTCTTCTTGTTGCCCGGAGATCCCCGATTTGTTGGCAACTCCCCAATCATTTTCTGCAGGATGATACAGAACGAGGCCGATTGTCTCCCTTGGCAGTAGGGAAAACCCTATCCTCAGATCGCCCACTGATCTACCGGACCTTATTTCTCTTGGCAGCACACGGTGCCGTCTGTGCACGTATGTAGTATCTCTCACGGCTACCCTCCTCAGAAGCAAGTTACAAGGTTGAGCGCCGCTCACCTGAAAGCGAGATTGGTTCTCGGGATCCCGTTGCTTTAATGGCTGGCGTCCCGACGGAGGCCTGGCATATCCAGGTTTCGTGACTTTAAGACAGAACAGGGTTCACAGGGTTCACACAAGGTGTCGAAGCAAGGGGCTGCCTTGTTCGGTCTTCATCTGTTTGATCACGAGGGCCCGGAGATGGCTGGTGATGGCACCAAGGGGAAGAAGCTGCAAAGTTTCACTATGACCTTGGGCTCCGAAGCAAAAAACTCAAGCCAAGGCCTCGTGTGTTATAAAAGCTGAAACTAAAGTAACCAAAGAACATCAAAGAATCCGAAAGAATTGTGATTGACAGGTTTGGCAGTCCCTCTCCGTTCTGGGAGTCACTCGGCTAAGTTCGACTTAGATTCTCTGCAGGCTTCCCGAGTCTTTGGGATGGTTTGGCGATCGACCGTATACGTTTCTTCCCATGCCTGCTTGAAGTTATTGAAGCTCTTGCATGCATAGCATGCGCTTCTTGTACGTGCATGGGGAGCTCTCGGACTTGCAGGGCACTCTGAAGGTGCTGGTCTCACAGTTGAAGCTAGATGTGGGTTTTCATTATCGGAGCAACAAGGGGATGCTTGGTTTTGGAAGGAAAGTGTGCAAGCCTGAGCCCCAGTAGCCAGGATCCACGGTGGAGCGACTTTCCGTGTCAGGCCTGCTGCCTCCAACCTGCCACGACATGTCACTTAAAGCTTACAGCTGGGTTTTCTTTTGCTTCAGCTAGCTGGCATAGCCATTTCAATCTAAGGATACAGTACCTCTTCATGCTCTTGTACCTTTAGGAATGCGGACGTCCTCATGTCGCCGAAGACGTTCAAAGGTCTTGGAAAGGTTGTCAAGGCTTGAGACCGTGCTGCACGATAAGTACCCGAACTAGAGCAAACTCGGGTAGGGTGGGGAATGGAAAGCAACATCCGACAACTCGAAGCTGTAACTTCGCTGAAGAAACTCAGACAAGACTATGCCAAGCGGCAGCTAAAGGTCGTGTGCTTGTCCGGGAGGAGTGGGTTTTTGTTTCCAGCCCCAATAGTTGCTTGCTCATACTCATGAGGTGGGCTAGGGCCAGCCTGTGCTGGGACACGGATTTCTTTCGTGCAACAAAGTTCCTGACAGACTTGACAATCTACTTGCGGAAACAGGTCGACACCTTTGTGAAGATCATCCTCAAAGGAGTCCAGAACTCCACACTCCGAGCTGGTCACGTGCATGCTGCGCAAACCTACATCTTCAGCTGCTGCTCGGTCTAGTTAAGCTTTGACCGGTGGCTGCAAAGTGGGCCGTCGAAGGCAACCTATAGTTGGGCCTGCAAGTACACGCCAAAAGTGCCAGTGCCGCATTGGCAGGTACCACGTGGGGTACTGCAGCAGAAGTTGCTCTTCACCTAAGTGTTGGAAAATGTCTTTCATTCTGCGAGGACAGTGAGCATTGACACTTAAGGCCTGATGTAGGGACTCGATGTGTAGCTGATGCAGAACTGCAAACCCTTCACTTCGGAGTTTGCAAAGCCTGTGTCCAGGCTGACCTTCAACTAACTGAACCCCAACCTTATCGCTTAGACTTTTTGTGAGGTGCGATCGAATCATGGCTGCACCCAAGCGCCTCAGACTGACTTATTTCTTGTAGACTTATTTCTTGTAGGTCTCCGTGGTAAGCTGGCAAAATTTGGAATGGGATGAGAGGTGTTGACTAGATGCTGAGCCTGTCGTGAGGCCGACCTGCCACCTGTCTTGGAGGCTCAATGGTCCAGACCCCTCAAGTGACGCAAGCTCCACGCAACAAAAACACATCATCATGGTGTGGTATAGACACGCAATGACAATGCAAGGGTCGACACATCCGACATAAGGGGCGGCGCGTAAGCCCTTCGACCTGGATGGCACAAGCCGACCCAGGTCGCTGGCCCACGATGGGCCCGGTACCGGAACGACACCCCCTGGCTCCCTGACCCCTTCCCACCCCCTGCCCTGGCCCCTAACCTCTGCTTGGCCCAACCCCAGACCTTGCTGGCACCTCCCCGAAACTGCCTCTTGACTCTCGGATCCAACGAACGTCATGAAACTGAATTCGTTTTTAGAAGTGAATTGTTGTCTGAGTCTAGGCCTAATCCCTAAAAGGAATAGGTGCCGCCTTGGACGGCGTGGGGTGGGAGAAAAGTGTTAGATGGCCCTCCGCAATCGGGCCAAAGCTGCTCTTCGCACCTCACGAAGCTTTCGAGCTTGTTCCTAAACCTCACCGTCACAGCATCTACACCCCATCACCCTAAACCCTAAACCCTAAAACCTAAACCCTAAACCCTAAACCCTACACCCTGAACCCTAAATCCTGAACCCAGAAAAAATCCCCAAAGCCTTAACTCCCGAGGATCCTAACCGGAGTGGATCAAAACGCGAAGGGGATCAATTGGGAGTCTAAACCCTAAACCCTAAACACTATACCCTGAACCCTAAACCCTAAGCTGGTTCCCTGAGCCGTGCGGACGAAAAAAGGCGAGATCTTTGAGTATCTGAAGATATAAGGGCGATTACCAAACAGTCAGCCACCCGCGCAGCATCCCCTTGGCCACAGGCCCTGTGAAGGATTGCAAGGCAGCCAGTTTGTCCTCCTCCTTAGCGCTCGGTCAACCATTTCTCTACCAGCCAGCTTAGTTTTCGCGCCCGGGGGCGCTGTTACTATTATGTCATTTGCACCCGATGTATTCTTATAGATATTGTTGTATGTTGACATTTTTACAAAAGCACTCATGATAAAACTATGAGTGAGTATTCATGATTTGACTGAAATAGCTGAAAAGACGACAAAGAAATGCACAAGCAAAAAGGATAAGGAAAACACATAAGAATCGTCATTAAAATATTCATATGAAAGATATACAGTTAGAAAATACCTTGATTCATTCGTTTCCTTAAATTCCTCAGCTGCCGCATATTCATTCCTCCCCCTTCTTTCTTCTGGAACCCTTGATCAAGCAAAGCTCAGGCATGGCATCAGTGTGGGCGGTCGTTGCGCTGATCGGACGCATCGTGTCTGCAGCGCACCACAACACGGCCACTCCCACTGCCAAGTGCTTTGACATGTGCGCTTTGCCCAACTCGGTAGCCTCCCAAACTCAGAATAAAGTTCTACAGGCTCAGAAAGGCTTACGTAAGCACCCATCTCAGCGCTCCAGGCTTGGGTGTCGACATTGAGGTCAAGTCGCCGTGCGAGCAAAGGAGGAAAATTGTTGGCGCTTGACTTGGGTGGCTGGTGGTCCTTGAGATTCAGAAACACAGGCCGCCAAGAAATTATGAAACGGATTATCAGCACTGTCATCTTACCGAGCTGCTTCCAAACTTTATTGTTTAACAACATAGGTTTTTGCATGGAGGTTCCGCGAGGTTGCCAGCATGCGTGGTCATCTGCTCAAGAAATGTTATTGTTTTTTTTCATCCTCCCTTCCAAAGGATTCATGAAGTCCCCCCGTGGGCTAATTTGTCAGGCGGGCCTACAGGGCCACGATGCGGATTGCCTTCGTTTGGATTTTGCTTAGTACTTGGTTGTGGGACTTTGATGGAGCAATCGGGATGAGGGGTCGAGCTGGCTGTTCTTTGGAACTCATACTCGGGGAGGTTTGGATATTGAGCTTGGGCGTTTTTTTTCGACAATGTCGACTTCATCTCCCTGTGCAGTAGTGTCGTCTCTTTACTTGTAGTTCAATCGGTGCGGCGATATGGACCAACAGTACTTGGGGAGTGCAAGTCGTTTGGTTTGCCTACTTCTGGCGACACCCTAGTTTCCCACAAAAGAACCTTCCCGTCCCTTCTGCGTCTTGCCCTGGGGCCACCTCTGTCAATATGGATGTCGATGAGGTCATGGTGGCACTTTGTTGCAATTCTCATGTGCAGACGGAGAAGATGTTTCGAGTGAAGAGCTTCTTCGTCAGGAACAGTCCACGTCATGTCCAGTCCCTAGCAGTGGTAGAGCTCCGCTTCGTCATTTCTTTCCTTTTGAGGGGTGCCCTCGAAGTGCGTCTTGTGACACAATGGGTTTCACTTCGGTTTCTATGCTTCGTGCACTTTGTAGATGGGCGAAGAACTTCCTCGTCAGGTGGCTTGAAACCCAGGGCTTCGTTGCGTGTCGACGTTGCGGCTTGATGATCTCTCGTTGGGTACGGGATTTGTAACATCTTCTGTGTTCGATAATCGCCCCTCGACTCCCCAATCGTCACGACGATGTCCTTGGCTTACACGTCCTCACAGATCATCGTGAGCCTTCACAGACAATACGCCGGCCTTGGATTGAATGTGTCATATTTGGAAAATTCGTATTGACGCAGGCGAAAAATGGACAACGCCTAGCGCACGCTTCCTACATTAAATGGTGTTGTTTATGGCACTGCTCGGTGCCAGAGAAAGGCTCATATTACGCGTTAGCTGTTTGTTTATGTTGCTACTGCCGCGGCGATGGAGATACAAACTACTTTATACGTCGTTTTTCATTCACTCGAAATTTGGTGTTTTGTTATATTGTATTTTCAGATGTCGTGTAATGCATTTATGCTGATATGACACGTTGCAGTGGAACTGGTTTGTGGGAGATGCCTCGATCCGTGGTCCATTTTGGTTCAAGGGCCTTCGGATCCGAGATTTAAATGCCGGTCTGAATCTCAGCAACAGGGCGTTGTATGGCCCTGGCGGTCGTTCCTCCAGCCTCTATGGTTTTGGGAAACGGCGCCGTGTGACCTCGCCTTCTTCGCATTGGAGGCACCGGCCCGGCCCTGATCTTCCTCGAACACTTTCTTGGCCGGTGCTCCGGGCCGGAGGGACCAGGATATGGACTCAAAAGGGTGAGGAAAATCGTCCTCATCCCCCACTCTGATTGGGACACGGCCGTGGCTGCGCTACAGGTTCCACAACCGCCGAAGACTTCGGAGCCTGCAACACCGCCGGTGACTGGCCCACGCTCGCCGACCGCCGGGGAGAGCTTTAGACCCTGTACGACGCCTACGGCACGAAAAATGGGAGCTAGCCTTACTCGGAGCACGTGCGGAGCTTCCTCACCCAATTCTGTTTCTTTCTGCTAACGAGGGCCAATATTAGGATGCGCGCTGAGCACATGGAGCGTTTCCGGCGCCAACAGCGGCCGCTCCTCCACACCGATGCCGCAAAAGCGCTTCGGAGTCCTGGGCCAGGGCTCGCTACACCGGAAACCTTTTGGCTCCCTAGGTGATAGGTACATCTCACACCCGGACACCAACGACGACAAATCCATTAAAGAAGGCGAATTTTGCACTGAGGCAGCTCAAGGGAAGAGGTCGCATCAATGCAAGAAGTGTCTGGGACTTCATCGGGCTATGGGTCGCAAGATATACACGGTAAAAATAATAGTTTATGGGGATTCAAATGCCCAAAAGTAATATTAAAATGGGGTCTATCCCCATAAAAGGCTACGGGCTCGACCCCTATTTTCGCTCTGCGGCCGCCCTGTCGGATGCTCCGCCTCCTCTTCCGGTCCATTTGGCTGCTTGTGAGGGCCTTGCAGGGGAATCCTGAAAATTCCGGGAATTTTAACCCTTTTTGTCTAAAAATCCTGGGAATTTTGGGAATTACCCGGAGCTGAAAATTCCGGGAATTTTAGGAATTGTCCGGATTGAGGTTTGGGCTTTCCGGGTTGGATTTTAAGGTTCCAACACAACAATGATGACATGGGTGCCCTTTGAAAATTCCGGGGTTTAATAGAAATGGTATAGGGTTTGTGTCCGGCGTTTTGTCGAGTTGTGGGGGTTTTTGTTTTTTGTTGTAATGGTTTGGGTTTTGTCGGGCGTGGTGGGGGATGGATGGTTTTGGGGGTGCTGAGGGGCTGGGGCTGAGGGGTTGCGGTTGAGGGGTTGGGGCTGAAAGGCTGGGGTTTTGGGGGGTTTTGTTTTTTGTTGTAATGGTTTGGGTTTTGTGGGGTGTGGTGGGGGGTGGGTGGCTTTGGGGGGCTGAGGGGCTGGGTTTGAGGGTCTGCGGTTGAGGGGCTGGGGTTGAAAGGCTGGGGTTTTGGGGGGTTTGTTGTAATGGTTTGGATTTTGTCGGGCGTGGTGGGGGGTGGATGGTTTTGGGGTGTTGAGGGGTTGGGGTTGAGGGGCTGCGGTTGAGGGGCTGGGGCTGAAAGGTTGGGGTTTTGGGGGGTTTTGTTTGTTGTTGTAATGGTTTGGGTTTTGTCGGTCGTGGTGGGGGATGGTTTTGTCGGGTGCGGCGGGGGTGGGTGGTTTTGGGGGGCTGAGGGGTTTGGGTTTGAGGGGCTGCGGTTGAGGGGTTGGGGTTGAAAGGTTTTGGGGGGTTTGTTGTAATGGTTTGGATTTTGTCGGGCGTGGCGGGGGGTGGAAGGGATGAAAGGTTGGGGTTTTGGGGGGTTTAGTTTTTTGTTGTAATGGTTTGGGTTTTGTCGGACGTGGGGGGGATGGATGATTTTGGGGTGTTGAGGGGTTGGGGCTGAAAGGCTGGGGTTTTGGGGGGTTTTGTTTTTTGTGTGGGGGGTGGATGGTTTTGGGGTGCTGAGGGGTTGGGATTTGAGGGGCTAGATTTGTTGAGGGCTTGAGTTGAGGAGGGCTTGTTGAGGGGCTGGGGAGGGGTTGTTAAAGGAAGGGGTTATTGAAGGGGGGATTGATGAAGGGAGGATATTGAAGAGAGGGATTGTGATGGGGTTATTGAGGATTGAGCACTTTTGTATTTTGAGGGATTATTTGGGGGTTTGGAATCGGATTGATATTGCGATGATAATATTTCAGTTATTTATTTCGATAACCTCGTAAAATCTTTAGATATATTATCTTTTATTCTAAATTTTTTTCTTTTCGTG